AGGAAAACATTATATATTTAAATAATTTTAGTCTGACATTTTTAAAATCGTACTATCTTTATTGAAACATTTTTATATTTTATGGTTTCATTTCGAAACGTTTTTTCTTCAAATAATATTTCACAATTTGAATAAGTTTGTGAGTTTGATAATAATACTACTCGAATTTAACAAAATAAATTAGAATTATTTAATACATAAAATTATTCATTAACTTTTCAGTCACTTATTTTTAATTTCAGTTATAGTTCGTTTTCATTTAAAAATATAAAAAGAAGTATACATTTTCTGTACAGTACATAACGTTATTATTTCACTTTATTGGACGAGGATGCTACTACTCAGGTGTACTCAATCTTTATTTTTTACTGTGTTAAAACTGATATTCGCTTTTTTCCCAATTGAAAAATATGCTCTGATTCTGGACTGGGCCCCTCGCTATTCAGGATTTTCAGGATGATAGATATGGCCTTGTTAGCAAGTAATGCAAAATAAAGATTCGTATATTATGCAGTATATTTCAAACCTATTTTATTTTCCATCGGCACCCATTATGCTTGGGTGGGTCATAAGTGGGGTGTGATAAAACATTGTGTTTGTGCTGACATGGTAAAATGAGCATTAATTAATTGACTGAAGGTAAAATTAACTGGTGCACTGACTAATTACGTTTTTACTATTAATTTTCTGACTGTTTTAATTAGCTATATGTATTACATTAATTTAGTATAATACATTTATTTATTTAATTGATTTTATCTACAGCACTGACTGCTGCGTACAAAAAGTAATTCGAGAAAAATTCAAACATTGTACAGTGTTGACAATTGCCCATAGATTACATACTATTATCGATTCGGATAGAGTTCTGGTAAGATTTATCTGTTAAATAATATATAGTAAGTATGTGTTTTTACTGAAGATTCAAATTTTTCAGGTTCTCGAGTCAGGAAAAGTTAAAGAGTTTGATACGCCATATACATTACTGAAGAATGTAAATGGTACTTTTTATAATTTGGTGAACAACACGGAACAAACAGTAATCAAAGAGCTATACAAAATCGCGAGAGATAAGTATAATAGAAAAGAAAATATTGTTATTACCAAATTATAAAAGATATCTTTAATGTAAAAGTCTTATAATATAAAAACCTTAAAAAACAATAGTGTTTCTAATTTGCACAGTAAAATTTACTTAGTTTATTAAAATATAACCACTGATTTCCTTTTGAAGAAATCACGTTGCTTTAATTGTTGGATCAATTCAACACTAGAGAGTGATAGTCAGTTCAATAATCTCAATTATCTTTTTCCGAAGAAATTTTCGATACATCTTATTCTCATAATAAGTTCGTGTTGCTGTAGAACGAAATTTCATTACAATTTTTTTGTTCGATAAGAAAATTTTTTTTAGTTATATAAAACCAAAGAATAATGAGAGTAAAGATTATTCCAGGTGAAAAAATTGGAAATGATTTTTTAAAGTAACGATAGAAAATACTTATAGACTTAATTCGGGATTTGTGAAAAACATACCTTAATTAAAATGAAATCTCTTGTTATGTAGATACATTTTCTTGCAGTTAGGGTTGAAGCGACTTTCCGGAATCTTTTTATGAAATACAGAATCAAAAATTTCAAATATATATTTTATGTATGTTTAAATGTTTATAAATGACACCAATTTCAAAAATATGGTATCATGAAATTGCAAAAGCTTTAAATTAATTCGGCTAAACGTTAGAACATCTCTCCGCTGTATCAGTGTAATGTTTCGGGCAATGGTTTATGAATTAGTGAGGCGAGATGATGAATTAGAGGCGAGGGATGGGGTATCCAGGTTTCATGGCAGTTAAGCATGTTTTCCTAAATATCGCGTTTATTGAAAAATTTTTTAAATTAATTTCGTTTATTTGGTTATGGCCACGCGACACGTGAGATGTCTGTGAAGGAGAATGCATCTTAGAAAGAGTTTTATGCTCCCAATCTAAGTGTTACGTGGCTAGTTTCTTGGTCATATAAAAACCTGCAACTGACTATTGGTGACTGCTGGTTTTATCCACTAGATACTTGAGGGTATTATAAATTTTCATTGCTATCTGCCTGTCTCTGACATTCTGTAATCTCAATAATGAAGTTACAGAAAAGTCAAGACCAGACACGGAATCCATAACAGAATGAGAACCAGCTTAATTAGCTTTATGTGATCTTTCGATTTGTACTGCAAGTCACGTTATTTCAATTCAAAATTTTTTGACAAACAAAGTTTAGATACATAAACAACATTACAGAATATTTCTAACAGGGACAATATGAGGTATAGTGGCAAAACACTACTATACTCTACGTAAGCAAGGGCTTTGTGGTATTATCACAGTAATTCAGTGAATATAATATATATGTGCGCTTGACGGTTTGAGGATATAAAGTTTTGAATGTTACTGTTAGATTAATTTTTTGTAGGAATTGTAAACCTCAGTCAATGAGAAAAAAAACTATCACATGTTCTCACGGAAATAGAATAGATGTCAACTCTTAACATCAACAAGTTAGGAAGGAAGAAGGCGCACGTCTTCGCGCGCATGGGAATTAGTCATCGTATGGACAAGCTATCAGTTGGCTCAGTGCCAAATACGATGGTATTAAAACGATCATCTCAGTAAGATCAGGGTTATTGTCACAGGAAGATTTTGGTAAAAGTGTCTCCGGTCCTGTCCAAGAAGAAGCAGGTAGAAGACATAGGACTGTTCCAGCTTCCATATTCCAGAATAATCGTCGCATATAGTCATTCGATAGCACATTGAGGTATATTTGAGGGTAAACTCTCTCTCTCTCCTCTAATAGTTAGACAAGCCGCATAATGAATAGTTTGATCGTCTATGCCGATAGATTTATATTATATGTTATTTAATTCTTTATGTACACTCCTGTAAATTAGATTAGTTATATAATAAACTTCTTATTTGTTTGTTTAACCTGTGAACTTGTATACCATTACTTGCAGGGACACCCGTTGACTTTCACACCCCCCTCGCCACTCTATAAAAAGCCATTCAGTGAGGCTCTGAGCGGATTTTGCCGATCTGACGATTAGAGAGCTTAGTCCCTTCGACTGTATTCTCACGAATATATATATACAGTAGAACCTCGAAAACTCGGCCTAATGTGGACCGAAGGGTAGCTGAGTTTGTGAAAATGCCGGGTTATCGGGAATGGGGTTTAAAAAAATAAGTACGAGTGTTTCCTCAGAAAATACTGTGTATTGTACTTGTATATATTGTTTACTTGAGAATATAACAGAGAATAAACTGCCCAAATACCCTTAAACAAAAAAAAGTACGTCCTTTATGAAGGCATAGAGCCTTTACTACATGAAAATGAAAATTAATGAATACACTGTGTACAGTAATTTACCTGATAAGACAGACCTCAGAAAAATACTTTATGAGAGCTTTTATACTTTTATAAAGCTGTCTATAATGAAAATTAATTAACTAAGGATTTTTTTGCCCTGCCAGGGTGTGACCGAGTTATCCGGAGTGACGGGTTATCGAGAGCCGAGTTTTCGATGTTCTACTGTATTAAATTATATTCTTTTTGTAAAAATTACATTTAGTTAATTATTTTGTTAATTTTTTTAAATACCTGCAACGGAAGCAATAAAATGTAGACATATCATTCGATAAATAGAAATACAATTCATAGTTTTGTTTGGGATATACGAAGTGATCAAAGTTAAAAGCGTTTCAATGTGACTACTGAGTTTTTTATCAATTTATGCCATGGGCTAAAATTAGAAACATTCTTTTAATCAAAAATCCTAAGAAAACCAATCTTTATCTTTGTGATTAATTAAAATTAAACAAAATGAATTTTAAGGAAAAGGGGAAAAATTCTAATTATTTTAATATAAAAAAAAATGTGAACAAGAGAGAAAAACTAGTAAATTAATTTTTTTATCAGACAAGAGGAACAAAAAAGGAAATATTATTTAAGGTGCAAAGACATTGTCGCATTGTATTCGTAAACAATCGTCTTTCTCGGGAACTGATCTGTTTTAATTTCACTCGGTAACAGAGAAAGACCAGTCTGCCACAGATTAAAGATTAGTAACCAATAAAGTGATGATTTGCAAGACGAAAACATATTTTAACCCAGACTACAAGGAAATTTGTTTTCCTGGAGTTACGCGAGCCTATGTGCTGTACTTCGTAGAGGCTCTTTTTTCAAGTTTCCATTTTCATCTATTGCTGATGTGTCCTTCGAATGCGATAAACCTTCGTTGAGAGAGACTTCAGACATTCAGATCTGCATTCACTGAACATCGTTTTCTGTTTGAGAACGGGACTTAAAACGCAGCATCCACTCAGAGAACGGAAACTTTTTTCTTTGCCGGACTCTCCTCTTTTTCTTCAAATGCTACGCGTCGAATTATACAAAGACTGAAACTCTTCGTGATGATGACTTTTTGTAAAATAAATTTTCCGAAACTCTTCGTGATGATGACTTTTTGTAAAATAAATTTTCCGATAAATGGGTTGTGTTGTTTTTAAACGAGGCATCGACCTCTGACTCAACTGCTTTTACATGACATTGACTGTTACCGCTCGGCAGTCCAGATGGCAATGGAGGCAATAACGATAACAGAAAAATCGTTAGTTTTCGTTTTTAAATTTTTCCTCCTTCAGCCCCTTACAAATTGGTCGAACGGCTGAACAAACAAACATACTAATTTATATGTAATTTATCAATGTAATTTCTATTCTTAATTTTTTCTTTATTGGTGTTTCTTAATCTATACCAGTTTAATGTTCAACATAAATAAGAAACAGTATCGCTTCATTAGTTATTTTACTTTCAATTGAATTTTGATATTTCATAGCGAAATGGTTTAAGATATGTAAACAAAATTAGCAATTAACAAAACACAATTACTGTATTCTTATTTTGAATTTCACACCTTAAAAAAATGTAATTATTAAAATACAAAAGCGAAAATAAAAATTTAACATAAATCACTTTTTAGCAGTAATTTTAAAACAATGCATCAATATTTTACGCAACAACACTAATTACAATTCAAAATCAATTATGATAATAAAAAGCCAAAATTTAAAAAAATATATGTAATTTCGGTTTCGCTCTTTAAAGTATAAAATTACTTCTAATCACCAACTAAGATTATTTTCTTCAACCCTGGGGCTGTTTTCACTGTAAAACTGAGAGTACCATTTTCTGTATTTGGCAATTGCTTTCTCTTTTGATACGTAAACTGGATTCTTCAAATACATTTTGTAATTCCAGATTTGAATGTCTCGCTCAAGCTATTAAAATAAATATTTCCTATTGTTAATACACACGTTTCTTGTATATTTTCAAATTTCAGTAATTGGAATAATATAATCTCACCATATAACTTTCAAAAAAACAGATAACATAATCACGAATGCCTGTAAATCGAGAAGAAGTGTAATATTGTCGTATCAATCTCACTCGAACTTGTCCTTCTGGTATCATGCCATATACGATTATTCCATTTCCATATAAATTTTTTAGCTGAAAACTCATTATTGCTGGTCCAATCTGAAAAATTAAATATATTTGATAATAATACACAAGCGATCGTTTCATAAAAATTAATTGTTTGTAGATGCATTTATAACTTTTTCGTTGTAGCGAGTCATTTTACGTACTAGTACTAATACGCGGTAGCGTAGTTTCTAGAAGTATTTTTACGCTGATATTACCTTTTCGATTTATCAAAGCATACACGAAATTATAAAGTGCCATTAGAATTATTGAATAGATTGTGAAGGCTTGAAAATCTTGTTATAATATTTCTGCCAATCAACAAGTGGCACGGTGTACAGAAATCTAATCTTTCATCTTTCGATCATTCTGGAGTTGCAAACAGATTTCTAACATACGTTCACACCATATAATGCAGTAAAAATATTGGTTTGTAATAAGTATTCTTTTCTCCGAAAATAAAATTATGCATGTTGGCCACGCTAAGATTTGAAGGCAATGTATGTTAAAACTAATGGAATGTTTTCGCCGAAATTTGAGACGAAATTTCTGTGTTAATCCGAGTTATGTTTTATCAATTCTAATTACTTATTAGTTTTGCCCACTGACATTTCATTAATAGTATTTAGTAATATTTTGAGCTTGATTCTTCTTTTAAATATGCTTAAAAAACAGATGGTATACCGAATAAAATTGCTATTCTCCACTGTTTACCATACGAATATTTTAAAAATTACAAATAATTATCTCTTTATCATTGAATGTGAGAGCGCTCTATAATATTGCCCTGCTACACGTATAATGTTAAAGTTCCAAATTTGACCACTAATAGCTGAAACACTAACGAAACGATGTGAATGAAATCTAAAATATTTAGTGTCTGCGATGAAGACTACAGAAATGTTAATGTTTAAAAAATTGTTGTAGCCTTCTGTACTTAGGAAATCAAATATTTAGCATTTTGTGTCTTATCTCTTTTATGAGTAGACAGATATTCCGGAAACTAAGCTACCTACCGAAGAGCATGCTTAACCACTTGCCGCACGTATGTTTTTAAAGGAATTTTTAATTAAACATAAAAAATGTTTAAAACAGAAAACAACAAAGAAATGCATTAATTTTGAAGAAAAAGCTTCAAATTTAACTTCCTTTATCTTTCCTTTCTGTGAAATTTGACACCTATGAGTCATTGTTTATACAGCTGGATGACCTTGAGAACAGCTGCTGTCGTATTTTCCGGGACATTCTCATAGACGACTCGGGAGGTGAAGGGTTTTCAGTAGGGTGAATACTAGCTAAACCTATATTTTTAAGTATTTTTAAAAAATTTAAATTTTAATTGCGATTTATGACCCTCCGACTTAATTAAACTTATATATAATAAAATCTATTAATTAAAAAATTAAAGTACTGTCGGAGGTCGTTTTTGATATCAGAAAGTAGCTTTAAATAACTTTACCGAAGTCAAATCCGTGCACTACAACTTTAAAACGATTAATTAATTTTGATAAAAAAATCGCATTAAAAAACAATTAAGCGTTTATCGCGCATCATTAAAGGTTGATTAAAATCGCGATTAAATTTTTTTGCGCGGGTAAAAATTTTTTAAAAAATTTGGAGACAAAAAGCATTCCAAAAATGAAAAAATATTTGGGGGGCCGAACAGACCGCATTTTCTGTAACGCTACGAAACATTCCCGAGTTAACTCGGGACTGGACGTTAAGGTTAATAGCTTTTTAGAAAGCTGACTACATCTTTTCTGGTGTTTTTATAGGTTTTATTTTCAGATATTAAAACTTTTTATAATTATAGTTTAGTTTAAAATTTTTAAATTTCTTCGGTCGATCGTTTACCACGGGACATGACATTTTTCGATTACTCTAAATCAGGGTTGTATTTATTACTACAATCTTGATTATTTAAAGATAGACTTTTGATAAAATAATATTTCATTGACTGGTTCTTATGTCCTGTATCTATAGATAACAAGGGAAAGTATTAAAATCGTGAAAAATTTGACCCTCGTAAATTTTTGCCAATTTGCATGCTTTCAGACCTTTTCTTTACTACTGTATGTATACTACTATATAGATAGATTACAGAATGTATCTTTTTCTCTTTTCTTAGATTTCTATTATGTATTGTATTACATATATATATTATATTTACTCTCTGGAACACTGAAAAAAATCTGCAGGCTCTCACGTGATTGTCAGAAAAATATAGAATTATTATGAAGAGTATTCTCTTATGAAGTTAATGGTGATCAATAAATATATGAATTACTTCCAAAAACTGGTAAATAAAAGACATTTGAAAGTTTTTGCATGAAAATAGTGAAAGCAAATTTAATAGTAAGACTTAATATATGAACAAAGTGTACATCACACCGTCTAAAATTACAAGAAGTTTCGGATGACACAATCGTCATGATAATAAATCGAGAAAACAAGTACTTTCATTAAAAAAGTGTTTAAGGTTTACTTTTTATTTTAAGGTTGTTGCAATACAGTAATTCGGTTAAACGTAAGAACATCTTTTAGTAGTATCAGTGAAAAACTTTAAGGCACGAAGTAAAGCTGGAAACCTTTTTCTCTGAAAATGTTTGTTTTCTCGATTTATTATCGAGGTGACATTGGCTAATAGAAAATTCCCTTTAATTGTGGTCTCGATAATGTGCACTTTATTCACATGTTCAGTCTTACTAATTAATCTGCTTCTACTATTTTTATTCTTTTTATTCTTTCATTTTTATTGTTGCTAAGTTAAAGGGAGTATAACATAAGTCTGTTGTGTTCTACTTGAACCAAATGTTTAATTCAACATCTAAAATAAAGACATAAGACCTTTGATTAATGAACATATACTATATGAAGAATCTTAGCGGTTTATTTTAGAAAAAATATTCCAGTAAGGAATATTTATTTGTGAACATACCTAACAAAATGTTAATATCATTATAAGTAATTAATTACATTTTGAGTCTATTTAACAGCTTGAACAGACAGCACAAAATGTTGAATATGTTTTCAATATAATGTATGTATTGAGAATAAATTTACTATGTTGTGAAATTATTTCTGTCAATACAAATTACCTTCTGTCATATACGCATTATTAATTTCAGTTTGTAAAATCCATGAATCATTTTGGGCAATCTGTTCAAAATGATCGAAAATTATGTTTAATGTTTTGACACATATATTTACCTTTTAAATCTTTTCAAAAAATTCCGCACCGTAGTGTAAAATTAAATATGTAGTCACTATTGATAACTAGTTACCTGTTGAAGTTCATATGATGTGTGCATTACAGATATCCCGAACAATTTAATAGTAATAATGCCTTCGTATTTGCAACAGTAAAATGTTTCTTCACATACTGGATGGCAAGAAATTATACACTGAAAATATTTCCACGAATTCTCCGGATGCAAATTAATTCTGGACGTAATACCAAATTTGTGAAGGCAATTGATATGAGCGGAATCCGCTGCATTTTCCATAATTTCCTGTAGTATATAAATAAAAACATAAATTATACATATATTTATTTTGCTCGGTGTTATTTATAAATACCTGAATATGACAATTCAAAATGTGTTCACTACGACCTTTATAGAACATTAGTCGATTCTCTATTTCTGGTATAACTGGTGGTTTCCACAGAGGAGGTTGGCCTTCTGCATGATGCCACACGTAAATAAATCCATTTTGTTCGATGGTTTCCCAACTTTTTATTTTAGCAACTTCTGGAACTAAGTTCAAATATATTTTTTACTGTGTTTTATTAAATATTACTCAAATATCAGAAGATAATTTTGTAGCATTGTAAGAATACTGTATAAAAATCTGGTGCATTGGTTTTATTGAATCGTTTAGAGTAGAATTAATTAATTCGTTTAATAATACACGTGTAAATCGAACTACATTTTAGCAGTAATACGAATAATTATATATCTCTGTTTGTCGCAAAAGTAACAAAAAAAAATTATTATAATATTTAGCATAATTTTAACATATTATAAAAGCATTGCATAATTTTAATACGAAAACAGTTAAATTTATTTTGATGTAGTACATGTCTAAAGGCAATGCCATCAGCAGCACAGTGCGACGTAGACGATAGAAACTGTCATTGCAAGTGGCACATACCATATTTCGTGTCTTTGATCTCAATTTGCTTACTCAACGAAACGCAGAAATGAAAACTTGACAGCAACCAATTCGCCGCATGTGAAACTAAAATCTGCTACACTAATGTGTTTTGGTAAACCTGCAAAGAAATATCATAGAGTTATAATCAAAAATATAATCTCATTGCCGTGAAACAGGGTTATATTTTTATACCATTGCTTATCAAAAGTGTGTTTTAAAAAAATCGGTTGAGTTTGAATCGGCTGTTGTGCTGTAATTCTGATGGAAAACCTGCTGCAGTAAATAGTAGTAGCGAGTTATACAGTGAATTGCCAAGTGTAAAAGATATAAATATAATAGTCACAAGTCGATGAATAAAAATCTATCAAGCTGCTCACTCCACATATCACATCAGTCCTTTAGCGTAAATCGTAACTGGATCGTAAATTTCGAGTACTCGTGACCCAATTAAAGTGGTACACATTATGCCAATTAGGGTTTTTCAAACGGGATTCCGGGATTCCGGTTGTTTTTCAAACCCGGGAAATTTTGCAAATTTCTTAAAAATTCACTTTTTTTTAATTTTGTGCTAAGGTTGAGGAATTTTGCAAATAGAAAGCATAATTAACTCATTCACTGTCAAAATACATTTGTATTTATTAATTCTAAACCTGCCTATTAGTTTTTTTTTAATTTTTGCTCGTTATGGCATGTCACAAATGGTCAATAATCAATACGTAGCTTATATTTGGCAGAACTATGAAAATTCTTTACTTGTAAGATATATGAAATAACTGTGTTTACGCTGTCTTAGATTTTAACTACGCCCAGTAACTTCAATAAATGCGTAACGCCAGGTTGCGCAAATTGGACAAGGATACAAACGAATACGAAGTCTTCAAGTATGAAGTTTTTCTTCATGAACCTGATTATTAAAGCCAAACGAATTGCCGAATTATTGAGATATAAGCTTGATGCCGCTTTTAAAGCAGCCGAGGCAGACAAATCAAGAATACTAGAGAGCACGAGAAGTACTACAATCTCGAAAACGAACTCGAAATCTTCCAGGCTATGGGTGAAAAAACACATAATATCTGTCTTCTCTTAAATTCATTAAACACGATTCCAATCGCATCAATTGAATCGGCAAGGGCATTTTCGGTAGAGAGACTTTTTATTATTAAAATAAGAATTAGAGTGAGTGATTGGAGTATTGACCATCTTTGCTATTTAAAATCTTATAAAAATTTATATTATTGTATTAAATTATATTTAAAAAACGAAAATTACCTTTTAAGTTAGAAGTTTGATCTACGTTCATTTTTTTTAACTTTTAACTCATTTCAAAGCATTTTTATTTGTTGTTGTTGTTGTTGTATACAGTTTCCAGCAAACTTTCATAATTTTTTTCTGTTTGTGAAAATTTCTACGTAATTCAAAGGTAATTTTTATTATATATCTTACACAGCATTATTAGTATGATTTTGGAAGTTAAACTTAAAATTACTTTAAAAAATGAAAATACAGTCGACCCCCGTATAAGATCATTGATTATTCCGTTTTATATAAATTCCATGTTGTACGAGTCACTTAGATTTTACAAATACGTGTACCGGGCTGTGAACGGCTCACGTATTTGTAAAATTTAAGTGACTTGTACAACATGGAATTCATATAAAACGGAATAATCAATGATCTTATACGGGTGTCGACTGTAATTACTGTATATCATTTGATTTCGAGATATTTTGTATACCTTAAAAATAATTAATTCTATTCCGGAAAACAGTTCACTTTTATCTCGGAATCCCGGGACAAGCAAAAGACCGGGAAATGAGAAACCCTAATGTCAATTCACCATTATAGAAATTTGTGCCTAGTTAATTTATACAATATTATTCTTTACTTGGAGAATATAGTATAGATTAACTAGGCACTAATTTCCAACTAGGTGGATGGTTTTTTTCAGGATTTACTAGATCCAACCTGGCATAAACTTATCAATGGGATCCAACAGTGAAATCTCGATACATGAACACTACGAGTTGCATGTTTCAATCGAATACGTGTTTATTATATAGTTGTATTAATCTTTAATATATTAGATTTGGAGACAAATAAATTCGACTTATGTCGTTCTCCTGGAACCAATTACTGACGTAAGGTGAGGTATACCTGTAGTTATATAATTTTTAGAGATGGAAAAAGAGAGAAGAAAACTGCTCCTGCTCTGAATTTTTCTCACATGCGTACAATTTTGCATATAAAGTGAAAATTAGTCTGAACTCAACTCTGCTATCAATTTTAGTCAAGCGACTTGTTACATTGAAAATCGTCGTACGTGCATTACAATGTGGGTAAGTTATAAAGTTTTGTGGAGTTTTGTGGGGTTTTACTTTTCCCAAAGCAACCAATAAATCATTTAGCAATGTTTTCCATGCGTGTAAGACATGGTAACGGTGCGCTACAATTTGCATACTGTTTGATGTTTCCTTTCTAATTGCGATGTAGAAAACGTCTGATGCTATGTTATTTTTCACATAAAAATTTTACATTGCATATTGATCATAAGATCCTGTTACCAATGTAAAGCGTTCATTACAGAAATTTTCGTGTTCAAGAAATTAATTTATATAACTCTAGTCATTACATTAAAACTAATGCACCATATTCATATTCCCCTGCAATGCGAAGAAAATTAATTAAACGTATGAATTAGCATAGATGTATTAAGTATACATATATATATATCACTTCTCACTTTTTTCTGCGTAAGGTATTTTCACACAAGAACCATCCTGTCCAGCAAATCGCCATCCGTGGAAAGGACATTCGATGCAATCCTCATGAACCTTGCCATCAGTTCCTAAATGAGCGCCCAAATGAGGGCAATAAGCATCCAAAACAAAACATTTTCCGGTTTTACCACGAAATATAACGAATTGTTGACCTGTAAAGTAATTATAATTATTTTCAATTATTTTAAAATTTACTATTATTGATCTTGTATAAATGTGCCTTGAGTAGATAGAGATGGTGTATCTTTACAATGAGTGTATTTACTTATATATTTACACCAGTGGCGTGCCGTCTTTGGAAAAAGTGGAAGCACGGCATCCATTGCAGTTTAGAAAGTATGAAAATAATAGCACAATATATTTGAACGTATCTTATTACAAATTTCTACACTACGATAAGATTGCTATTATATAATCGAATATCAGTGGCGAAATAAATGAATAAATCACGAGTAGATTTATAACTTAACTCACTGATAGGAGTTTACTGATATGTTCTATAATAGTTGTGTATTGTTGACAGGAGTTTTAAAAAATACATTAAAAAATTTGATATATTTATTCAGCTTTTATTCCGCTCCCGTATCTTGTATTAGTTACAGATTTAAATGTTAAACTTGAAATATTACGATATAGTATGTCCCATCTATAAGGGTATGTAGGAAAACACGTGTACAATTCTTGTACAATGTTAAAAAAAATAAACTATTACTTTGACAACTGAATGTAATGAATGAGATGAACAAAGCACAAAAAACTTCTAATATTTCTTTTGAAATTTCAAGAACCTCTATGCCTTACAGTCAGTTTTATAAAGAAAAATCGAGTCGTCAAAATTGTGATTTAATTAAATAATGGACCGTGAAAGAACATCCATATGTAATAAGCAATCTAAAACCGTAAGGATAACTAACAATAGAAAGAAAAAATTATATACAAGAATAGGCTATTATTGAAAATCAGACAGTCTTAGAATAAAGTTTTCGCGGTATTATTTGCCATAACTGTTGGAATAGAGGTCATTAATGAAAAGCTGCAAACATCCAAAAATTTATGCGTTCGAAAAAATGCTCCAACTCGTAGACAAACTCGAAAATCAAAGCGAGGAACACAGAAACTGATGGGTCAGGCTCCCGAGGTAGAGCCCTCTCTCTCAAGCTAGTAGAATCTGTTTTTATCTTTTATAGTGTCTCGCAATTTCTAAATTAAAATAACGCACTATCTATTTGGAAATCGAAAAATCTCCGTTTAGTGCCATTATTGATACTGCCTCAGAAAAATCAATGATAAGCCGAAAACTTTGTGTAGAATTAAGACTAAAAATACATCCTTCATCTATTAAACTAATCATAGCGGATAATAGAATAAGAGAGTGTGGAGGTACTTGTATGTATAAATTACAAATACTGTAATAGGTAATAGTATTCAATTTGTGTTTGTTGTAGTGGAAAATTTTTCACGCGATTTATTACTAGGTAGTGATAGTTGTAAACATATAAAAGCAATGATCAGCTTCAGAGACAACTTATTAATAGTGCCAATAAGAAAGAATTGTATTAATTAAAATCAAATGCCTGTTTTACATCATAACGCAAAATTCCATACCACCGAAGAAACACTGGTGAACGCGTATCGTAAAAGTTCGCTGTTCAATTAATCAGAGTACATTAGAAGTAAAGCACGAAATGGGCGAGAATGTTATCAATGTTTTATGTGGTATTTGTGAGGTGAGAAATAATGAATGTATAATTCTAGTACTAAATAACACTTCAACTCCTGTTTTACTTTCAGAGGAATATACTGTTGCCGAAGAAAAACCATGTGAAGAATATTTCTTTGTAAACTTGTGTTTCTAATAACAATTAGACAGTAATGAAACAGATTCAAATATTATAAGGCCAAACGCTAATTTTTTGAAATAAAGAAATGTTAGCTTATTCGTTCATTCTTATCAAAAATTTAACATAGAGTCATTTACTTTTAATATCGGGAATTATTTATGTGAAGTTTCTTTAAAACAAATAGACGAGGTATTAAGAGAGAACCGAGACGTGTTTGACAAAAACATTTTCGATTTTAGAGTACGCAACTTAGGATCCCTTTTAATAGTAACGATGCCTGATGTTAAGCCAATTAATCAAAACGCTTACAGAATGTTTCCATATCAACGAGAAATTGTCAGAGATTTAGTGGAGGACATGCTTTAAGCTGGTATAGTTGGCCTTGAATGTCTCTGGACCTCACCTATGGTGCTAGTACCAAAGAAAAATAGGAAACATCGGTTATGTATGGATTATCATCGTCTGAATAGTCTCACTGTCTCAGATACTTATCCCCTACCTCGTAAAGATGAAGCCATAAAAATTTTGGAAGGAACAAACTGTATTCGGTAATAGATTTTGCCTCTGGATTTTGCCGGATACTCGTGGCTGAAAATAATATACGTAAGTCAGCATTTATAATTTCAAATGGCATATATGAATTTTTCAAGAAGAGATTCGATTTAAAAGGTGTCTCAGCAACATGTCAGACGATAGATTACCAAGTTTTAGCTAATGTAAAGTGGAAGGAAGCACTTATATATATCAATGGTACTGTAGCATTTTCCAAAGACCTTCCATAACATTCGAAATTACAAAACGAATTGTTCGAAAGATTTAGAAATGCTCAATTGAAAGGTGAACATCAATAATACATATTTGCCGTAATCATATAAAGTGTCTTGGGTACATCGTTGAAGTTTTAGGTTGTAAAACTGACCCCAAAAAAGTAAAAACAATTACTCAAATAAAAGTACCCACTAGGGTAAAAGAACTTCGATCATTCTTAGGAATGTGCGGATATTTTAGATGATTTATAAAGGATTTCTCGATTATAGCCAAACTATTATTCTGTTTATTTAGAACCAACTAAAAGGTTGTTTGGAGAGATATTGAACAAGAAAATTTTGTACAATTAAAGGAAAGTCTATGCATAATTAAAACAAAATAAACGGGTATACGAAATAAAATAAAAATTGTTTTCTGTTAATCTTTGTAATATTATCTGTAAAACCAGTATAATAAGTCCTGATAATAGAAGATACGAATTTATAGTCGAAAAATTTACATATTAATAGAAAGTCCATGTAACTCACTAATTTTAAATCATTTTGACCGAGAAAAAATGTGCTATACAGGGTGTTTCAGTTAGACGTTTCAGAACTTCTAAAAGGTATAGGATGCATCTCGACATCTCAAAATTATATGGCAATGCAGTATCGGAAATGCTTTCTTGAATCGGTGATGTACACAGTAACAGCTAACCTATTGTGCAGGCTTGAATAGAAATTATGACTGGGAATACGGCTCTTCGGATATAGTTCTTCGTAAAACCGCTGTATGGTTGGCCCACTACAATGTGCAGCCCTGTACACCAAATGCATATCAGCTAACTCTACATGCTTGTGCGAAATGACGACTCCCTGCAAGAATGCTCGAAACTTTCGAGCAACGCCATTTACCGCTTCAGGAAAACGTTTCTGTCCCTGCATTGCTATATGATTCCAAATCATCGCGATGCACTCTACCCCTTCTGGAAGTTCTGAAACGTTTAACTGAAACACTCTGTATACATACAGATCATAAAATATAGAATTGTAAGTTACTCTGTTTCAAAACTATGATGAGGGGAGAGAGTGTCCCGTATAATACATCAGCCGAACGCTTAATGTCTACACACTAATGTAATGCTTTCATATAACTTACCTAGAGCAGTAACAGGCTTGCACTTTCCAACAGATAGATCTCTAGATTCTAACAAAGGTATCCATCCATTTGGATATGCAGGAGGAAACTTATTTGCCCTTCTCGATCTATTTGTATCTTTTAATAACTGAATTCGTTTTCTACGTAATTCCCTCGCATTCATTTTTTCATCTTCATAACCAATACCAGTCATGTCCTGCATCGATTAAGATTATTGTTGAAAATAAAATAATATTTTGAATTTAAATATCTGTCATGTTTACTTACAACAACATTGTTAATAGTCGAAAAAGAAAAGTAGACAATAAGAATAAAAACAAACGATAGAAACAGAAGATAAGGTTTATTTATAGTTATCGAAGTGATGCATTGAAACATATCCAGAAACCCGGAATTTTTCCATAATTCCTCTGCTACACTGCCGTATATAAATGTGAACATTTTTGTTCGAATTATAATCTTGTAATTGTCTGAAATAAAAAATTCAATAATGTTGTTTAATAATTTTTTAACTTTGATTAATCTAACAGTTATAAACAATTATTATTACAGATTATCTCAATAGGTTAGCATTGATACAGCTTGGTTTACTGTTTTAATGGTAATGATAAGTTTTACGTGGACGCTTGTACATCATATCCTCGCTATAAGCTTTAGTGTCCAGATAAATATTTGTTCACGAAGTTAACAGCGTGAGATAGTAAGCGTTTCCAATTACTCTCACGATATTTGATTTCGAAGTTTGGAAAATATTGGAAAGATCTCTCCTTAACAAGTCAGTGACATAACACCAGGTGAGAATAATATATATAGCGTCTCAAAATTCGAATTTGTTATTCCATATTAGTTCGATTATAGAACGATTGCATACGTTCCAGAAAATTGATCAAATTGAATATAGTTCGTTATATTCTCAGCATTAGGTGTTATATCACAATTACTGTCGTTGAAATACTGAGTATAAATAAGGTTTTCTTGTAAAAACTACGCGGGCGAAGTCGCGAGTATCAGCTAGATTTATATATTTAGATATGTAAATTTTGTTATAGTTCGTACGTTAATTTTTGTATTTTAATTCGTTGTGTTTGAATGTCCATGTTTTATATTTGAATTTATATATTTTATTTTTATAACAATAACACCATTATTTATTCTTATTTAACCCGACGATGGCAATCGAATTAACCGAAAATGTTAGTTTAAGTAAATTTTTCTCAGCAACATAACTCCTTTGCAACTTTCCAATTTTTGACATTAATGTAATTAAACATAAAAAATATTTAAAACTGAAAAAAACGAAAGAAATGCGTTAATTTTTTAAAAATAGCTTCAAACTTTATTTTCCATTGACTTGCCTTTCTGTGAAATTTGACACCAATGTTTACAGCTAGATGACCTTGAGAACAGCTACCGTGTTTCCCCGAAAATAAGACAGTGTCTTATATTAATTTTTGCTCTAAAAAATGCGCTAGGTCTTATTTTCAGGGAAGGTCTTATTTTTTCCAGGAAGAAGAATTCACATTTATTATTGAACAAAAAAATTCCCAAGTCGAACTTAGACGAGAATGACGTATATCCGGTGTGTCGAACTGTCGCCTTTTTATAGCGTCAACATCGGACTCGATGACCAATTAGTGCTTGCTGAACCGTAGCTCTATGCAAATGTCATGTGGCGTGATTCCCGGCCGACCAATTAGCCATCACCAGCCGTAACGTTATGCAAATCTGTGATTCCCAAGCCATACTCTTATGCAAATCATGCCAAGTGGCGTAATTGTCTGCTGACCAATCAGTGGCTGTATTTTCAAAAAGCCAACGGCCACTTTCAACCATCTGTCGATGACCGTTTCGACTTAAAAAAACTTCGCTAGGTCTTACTTTCAGGGGGAGGTCTTATATTTCGCAATTCAGCAAAATCTGTGCTAGGTCTTATTTTCTGCGGATGTATTATTTTCGGGGAAACACGGTAGTGTTAGATTTCTCGGGACATTCTCAAAGACGTCTCGGTGGGAGAAGGGTTTAAAGTAGGGTGAATACTAGCTGGCAGTATATTTTTAAATATTTAAAAAAAATTAAAATTTTTATTGCATTTTCGACCCTCCCCCGATTTAATTAAACTTATATATAATAAAATATATTAATTAAAAAAAATTAAAAAACTATTGGAAGTCGTTGTTGATATTAGAAGCTAGCTTTAAATAACTTTACCGAAGTAAAATCCGTGCACTACAACTTTAGAACGATGAATTAAATTTGATAAAAAAATCGCATTAAAAACAATTAAGCGTTAATCGCGCGTCATTAAAGGTTGATTAAAATCGCGATAAGATTGTTTCGCGCGGGTAAAAATTTTTGAAAAAATTTGGACACAAAAAACATTCCAAAAATCCAAAAAATATTTTTTGTGGGGTGACGAAAGGACCCCTCACAAAAAAATTTTTGTGGGGGTCTTTTCGTAGGTATACAGTTGGGAATCTGAAAAATACAAATGTTTGGTGTTCATTATTATTATTTTTATTATCTTTTATTAGTTCATACTGATTTTATAAACAAGACTATGTCTTGTTTATAAAATCTTACTGCCACTCATTCTTATCAGCATAGAGATATGAAGGAGTACATGTTGAGAGTTGATATTTGGCACAGAGTATTAGGTGCCCAAATTATTTGCGCATAAAAAATCCAGACTCGTGGGTAGTCAGGGGACCGAGAATCAAGTCAAAATAAAATACAAAATGACGACCCTCTTCTACAAACAGGTAAAACAGCACCTCACCCCACCGAAGTCAGGTGGGGGAGAGTACCACCCACAGTCGTTCTAAGAAGTGAACTCTGACCTTAGGACTGAACACGTAGTTTCTTCTATGTTAAATAAAATTTGTAATCTAATTTTGTAAGTTTGGGAGTGCTCCAAATATGACGTTAAAATGGTTTTATGTCATTATAAGTGGCCTTTTTTTAACATTATCTGGTATAGTAAAATTGTAGGACCGATGAAAATTTGACGTTATATTACGCTTGTTGTTACATTCGATGACATTATAATTGGGATAAACTGTATATTAGAGAGGTTGAGGCGCACGTTTTAAACGTGTAAACGTGTACGTGTGACGTTCGGCGCCGCTTTCCCGTAAGCCTAAAAGTTTGACGATGGTGTTTGAAATGTCGAGCGTGATTCCACCGACTATCCAAACACCATTGTCAAACTTTTAGGCTTACGGGAAAGCGGCGCCGAACGTCACACGTACACGTTTACACGTTTAAAACGTGCGCCTCAACCTCTCTATTGTTTGTGCAAAATAAAAAAAAATAATTTCGGACGATACAATATCCACGTATGGATACAAATTCACTGAGTTCAGCGTTAATAACGTTTCTTTAGTATTAACACAAGCACTTTCGACGAATGTATAATCATTGTCTTAGACATCATTAGAGTAGCGGTATCTCTTGCAGGATTTACATATGGCAAATATGAGCATATGCTCCGTAAAGTAAAAAAGGCCCTATACCCATGTACCACTCTGTACAGAAAGGAAAAAGCATTCGTGATCCAATCATCATTGCCGTATCTTGAACCAATCTCTATACGCATCAGCCGCATATTTCGACGACATAATTTCATACTACTCATAACTCCCCTACCAAACCTTGGCAAATGTATCTGCAACGACCGGGACAGCCTAACCACTTTAGAAAAGTCAGGGGTTTACACGATACACCTAGAAAATCCGGTAACGGAAAATATTACAATATACATAGGAGCAACAACAAGAATGCTCGCCTCCCGCCTTGCTGAGCATCAGTATGACGTAGCCATTCTGTAACGCTAAAAATTTTCTGTAACGCTATAGAACTTTCCCGAGTTATCCCGGGTTAAGTTATTTCAGAACGTATAAGGAAATATTTTTATTTAAAAATAAACAGATAGAGAAAAATCTTTTTAAATATGGAATTACAATTATCTAGACATCGAAGTTTTCGGGTTTCCAAGTTCAGATAATAGAGAGGTTGAGGCGCACGTTTTAAACGTGTAAACGTGTACGTGTGACGTTCGGCGCCGCTTTCCCGTAAGCCTAAAAGTTTGACAATGGTGTTTGGATAGTCGGTGGAATCACGCTCGACATTCCAAACACCATCGTCAAACTTTTAGGCTTACGGGAAAGCGGCGCCGAACGTCACACGTACACGTTTACACGTTTAAAACGTGCGCCTCAACCTCTCTAATATTAAAAAATTGTTATTACCAGAAATATATTAAAAAGCATTGTTCTTTTTGCGATACTCTAGCTTACGAATAATCCTTAATTGAACAAAAAATACATATGTTCAAAATCAATTCACTGTATAGGTATTTATTCAATAAGTAACAAATAGTTAAAGATAATAATTATTCATTTTATATTTCATACATATTTAAGCTGTAATTAAAATCTATTATAAATTTAATTAAAATTTTTAAATGTAAATATATAAAAAGTTTATTTAAAAATATATTTTTCAATTGAAAACTTTTACTTCATATTTTTTAGTTATCATTTTACACAAATTAAAGTATATATGATTACAAAATGATAATAAATTTATTTTTCATTCACAAATTTTAGATAAAATACATAATAAACATTGAGAGTATTTACTACTAATGTAAATCAAATGATATCTTTCGATGTTTCGAAATAATTTTCTGGTTCAATTTATTTTCTAACAATCTCATTGCTTATTCATTTAACTTCAGACATTCGCTAGTTAATTGCATAATTAATTTATGTCTATAGGCTACAATAAATTTATCATTTAGTATTTGATATTTACACTAAATTCCTAATGTAAATTCTTATTAAAATCGTACATAAAATCAATGGAAAAACTTTGATACTTACTAAGTATAGTGGTAACATTATTTTTCAAANTGCATAATTAATTTATGTCTATAGGCTACAATAAATTTATCATTTAGTATTTGATATTTACACTAAATTCCTAATGTAAATTCTTATTAAAATCGTACATAAAATCAATGGAAAAACTTTGATACTTACTAAGTATAGTGGTAACATTATTTTTCAAAACATTTTAGTTAATAAACGTCGAGTATTACGACTTCACCTGAAACAAGAAAGTTAGCAAATATATATGAAATTAATATATATTATAGAAGTAACTGCACAATGTGCATGCCGCTAATACTCAAAAACGATTGCCGGTCAGTGTTGCCGCAATGAAATTTCAAAACGTACTGAAGTGCCTTCAAAAAATGTTCTATTTTCCTTCTAAATGTACTAGTTCTATGAATACTTTCTTTATGTACCTATATATATAAGCAAGTAATTTATATATATATATATATATAGCTATTGTCAAATAATTTAATTTTAAATCTTATTTTTGGAATTTTTTGAAAGCTATTTAAAATTAAAATATATCTACACATCTATTATTTATTATAAAATGAGCATTACAATGACAACATTTATTAATAATACTATTGAATTTCATTTTAATTTTATAACCAATCGTGCTTTAAAAAAATAATTATAAATTTGTTATATTATATTATTTTATTCTTTATTATACTTTAAATTTTTTTGATGTTATTGCATCACTTTACGAAGTGGTATATACGTAATTGCATCAGTTTTAGTACCTATTTAATTAATTTCAATCATGACAGCAA